AATACATAATACGTCGAGGTTGTAATCCGAAGTTTTGTTTGAAGAAAGGCTGGAGGTGAGCATAAGGTAGAGGCGATGCTGACTGTGACAAGGATGATGGTGGCAGGGCAGGAATGCAGCCGACTTACTTACTAGCTACCCCGCCAAAGTTAGTGCAGACTCCCTGCATCAGCTCCCCCTCCCCATCGGCCCGTCAGTTGACAACAACGTGTGTATGTACAGTTTCATACTACACACTCGACTGCACAGCTATCATCTCAATTCCCCGTCCCATCCCAAAGCATCCAGTCACAGTCGCCATGTCGACCACCATAGAGGCTGAGACGCTTAAGCAGCACCTGGCCGACAACCCGCCTGCCATTGTGCCCTTGGCCATCAAGCCCCACTTTGAGGCCTTGAGCGACAAGGAGAAGCTCTATGCCCACCATCTCTCCATGTAACATATCCCCTAGGACACGAATATATCGCTTCATGGCTGACTAGCTAACGCCTATCACAGTGCCTGCTTTGCCGGATCGCGCGTCGTCCTTCGCCAAGTCTCGCCCGAGTCGGAGTACATCTACGACTTCATTGTCGCCCTGCACAAACACACAAAGGACGACTATGCTTCTGTCGCCAAGGAAGCCGGCCTCTCGCAAGAGGACATCGATGCATACCTCAACTACGCGGCCCAGTTCCTGGGCAACATGGGCAACTACAGGTCCTTTGGTGACTCCAAGTTTGTACCCCGACTCCCGCCCCGCCAGCTCAAGGCCCTCGCCACCGTCTCCAAAGATACGCTAGCCCTATACGAAAAGATCAAAGACCAGATATACGCAGGCGATGATGTCGGAAAGCTGCATCTGGGCTATCCGGGTGCAGGACACATCTCAGCATACTACCCCGACAGTCCCAACATCACAAATGAGGAAATATCCAAAGTCAGCGACTTCCTCGAGGCCAAGGGTCTTCTCCCAGAAAACACTAGAATCAGGAAGACGGACAATGGCTACCAGGTCCTCATTGCTTCGGCGCTCGATAACCCCCCGGCAGAGCAACGCGATTTGAAAGAAAGCGAATGGACAATGGATGATGGAACAAAGGTCACACTCGTCTTTGGAGACTACTCCAAGGAAATGGATACCATTGCCCATCATATCGAGGAGGCCAAGAAGTATGCGGCCAACCAGCACCAGGTCGAGATGATGGAAGAGTATTCCAAGAGCTTCCGTAGTGGCTCACTGCAGGCTTTCAAAAAGAGCCAAATGGCGTGGGTACAGGATAAAGGGCCACAAGTCGAATCAGATATTGGCTTCATAGAAACCTATCGCGACCCTCACGGCATCCGTGGCGAATGGGAAGGTTTCGTCGCCATGGTCAACAAAGAACGGACACGCGCATTTGGAAAGCTGGTAGAGAGTGCACCACAGTACATACCACTTCTGCCATGGGACAAGTCTTTTGAGAAGGACAAGTTCTTGAGCCCAGACTTTACCTCGCTTGAGGTATTGACGTTTGCCGGTAGCGGGTAAGTGGTCGCCTCATTCAACATTGCTGCTGCATTTGCTGACACCAATAGTATCCCTGCCGGTATTAACATCCCCAACTACGATGACATTCGGCAAAACTTTGGCTTCAAGAACGTGTCATTGGGAAACATCCTCTCAGCGAAAGCACCAAACGAACCCATTCCCTTTATCAAAGATCGTGATCTAGATACGTATCAAAAATACCGCGATCCTGCTTTCGAGGTCCAGGTCGGACTCCATGAGCTGCTCGGTCATGGCTGTGGCAAACTGCTTCAGGAGACGGAGCCCGGTGTCTTCAACTTTGACAAGGAGAACCCGCCCATATCGCCTCTCAGCGGCCAGCCGATCAAAACGTGGTATAAACCCGGCCAGACATGGGGCTCAACTTTTGGTTCCATGGCTGCGTCGTACGAGGAATGTCGCGCTGAGTGCGTCGCCATGGCGTTATCTTGCGAGTTCCCCATATTGCAGCTATTCGGCTTCGGCGATGGCAAAGTAGACATGAACAGCGCGGCTGGTGATGTCTTGTACATAGCGTATCTCCAGATGGCACGCGCTGGTATCGCTGCTCTGGAGTTCTGGGATCCTAAGAGTAGGAAGTGGGGACAAGCACACATGCAGGCTCGCTTCTCCATCCTCCGAACCTTCCTCAACGCTGGCGTTGAATTCTGCCAACTAGAATGGGAGAAAGAAGACCTTTCAGACCTCACGATTCGCCTTGAACGCGATCGCATTCTTGACCTTGGCCGACCAGCCGTGGACGACTACCTTCAGAAGCTGCACATCTACAAGGCTACCGCAGACGTGGCTGCTGCGAAGCGCATGTACGATGAAATCACAAGCGTAGAGCCCTTCTACGAGAACATGGTTAGACCAGCTGTGTTGAGAAAGAAGACGCCACGCAAGGTATTTGTGCAAGCCAATACGGTCGAGAAAGACGGCAAGGTAGAACTTGTCGAGTATGAAGCAACCACCACAGGCATGATCCAGAGTTATGCTGACAGGGAATATGTTTAAGTATGACGGTAGCTAAGGCCGATTTTCTTCAAATCGTAGCATGCTCAGCCTGCTCTTGTCACAAATATAAAGGGCTGCGCACATGAGTAAATGAAAGATACAAATGCACAAAACAGTAGTCCAATTTTATACCGTGTTCACCGTTCCTGGGAGCACACACCTCAGATATAACCCTTTTTTATGGATGATGGATCGAGACTAATATTCAACGCAGCCTGGATTCATCTCAACAGTGGATACACATTGACTGGCGGAACAGTGCCAAGAGACGCTTGTATCTGTTTAGAGCAGGTACCTGGAAAGCGGCTCTTGGCGGCCTCTTGGCTAGAGAAAGTGTGGAGGTGGAGGGTACTAGCCTGGGGTTCCACATGGTAGTCATGCCCACCTCATGTACCCTAGTGCTATGCAATTGCCGGAACCCGCAGGATTCTTCCACCGCTTAAGAACGACCTTGTTACGAAACCTCGTCAACTGACCATGACTGCTTCCAAGACATGCGAAAGAGGGGAAAGTAGATATACCGACCACGATATTTGTCTAACCAAGCATCTGCGTTCACACGGCAGTAGTTACATGTAGTTAATAGAAGCCTAAACGATATGCATGCAAAAGCTTCTTTTTTGCTTCACGCCGTTACAGAAGGTGGCTCGGAGATGCAACCCTGAAGCGACCGAAGCCAAGAGGACTTGTGTAAATCTCCTTGGACATCCACACCCCCATCGCTATGTGTTTCACCTTTCCATACTGCGTTAGTGTGCCGACCCTACTGTAGAGTGCTCTTATCGCTGCAGGTTCCTGATTTCTCCGTCATGCTCATGGAAAAACTTGTATTGATTCGTGAAGCATTTTAGTTTCTACGCATATTCGAAATTGCAAACGAAATGGCTTCGGAACAATTCCCAACAGGCGCTCCACCGAGCCAGTGTTGGACTTGAATCGAAATGAATAAAGAGCCCACTGTTCTCTGATGATGCCTTTTTGATTCACCCAAGCAACCAGCTCTACTCTCTTTTTTTCCTTGTCTTCTGCAAAGGAGCCTCTTCCTAAAGGCTCGATTTCATCATGAAGTTTTCCATTCTTGCTCTTGCAACTGCCTATACCGCCAATGCTGCAGTCGTTGGCGAGAGACAGGCATACGGCGTGAAGGGCTCGCCTGAGGGGTTTGGTAAAGGTACCACGGGAGGTGGCAGCGCAGCATGCCAGATCCCTTCTTCCGTCGCCCAGCTGAAGACGTGGCTCACCGACAGCACCGCCCGTTGCATTGTGCTAGACCGCGAGTTCAACTTCAAGGGCACTGAAGGCACCACCACTGCCACTGGTTGCCGCCCTGCATCCAACAAATGCCCAGGCAATGGAGGCCAGGATGCCATCAATAACGCTAACTGGTGTACCAACGGCAATGCTGGGGCTGGAGCAACAAGTATCCAAGTCACATACGACACTGCTGGAACCTCGGCTATCAACCTAGGCTCCAACAAGTCCATCATCGGTGTCGGCAACAGAGGCGTGATTCGTGGCAAGGGTCTCCGTATTGCAAACGGAGCAAAGAACGTCATCATTCAAAACATTCATATCACTGATCTCAACCCCCAATATATCTGGGGTGGCGATGCCATCACCCTCGACGGTGCTGATCTGGTATGGGTTGGTACGTATCTCACCTCTTCACCTCCATTTCCATCCCCTTCCCCTATCTAACCATTTCCCACTAGACCACTGCAAAATCTCCCTCATCGGCCGCCAAATGTTCGTAGCCGGCTATGGCGCCTCCAACCGCGTCACAGTCTCTAACACGGAATTCGACGGTTCAACCTCCTGGTCTGCAACCTGCAACGGCCGCCACTACTGGACCATGCTGCTCATCGGGTCCAATGACCTCATTACCCTCAAAGGCAACTACATTCACCACACTTCCGGCCGCAGCCCGAAAGTCGGTGGTAACACCCTGCTACATGCTGTTAACAACTACTTTTACAGCAACACTGGCCACGCCTTTGATAATGAGAAGGGTGGCAAGATTGTCGCGGAGGGCAATGTGTTCCAGAATGTTGCGACTCCCCTGCTGGCGAACACGGGCCAGTTCTTTGCGTCGCCGTCGACCAGTGCAAATGCGGCTTGTAGTCAGTATCTGGGCCATGCGTGCCAGCTTAACTCGTTTGGAAGCAGTGGTGCGCTGAGTGGAAGTGACACATCGTTTTTCTCGAACTTTGGTGGTAAGAATGTCGCGAGTGCTTCGGCGGCAAGTGCCAATGTGGCGAACACAGCGGGTGTTGGTAAGATTTAGGCGAATTGACGTTTGGTCAAAAGAGAGGTCGTATAAGGGTGTCGATTGTTCGAGGGTTGGTTTATCTTCTCATGTACCTACTTTACCCCGTGATTTTGCTTTGAATTAAAGCTTGCTTAACAAGCTTCTCAGCATCATTACTCGTTGTATATATGCAAATATTCACCGCCATTATCAATCTGATAAACCATTCACTCCACCCCAAAAACCTCCTTAAAGACGTCAAGATTCCTCCGTCCTGTCACTCCAGCCGCGTAAATCGCAAACCCCACAACCTCAAACCACCCCTCAAACTCTTCCCTCCCCAACACCTCCTTCATCTCTCTCGCAACAGCCCGCGGCGGACACCCATACGCCCCGCACCCCATTGCACCCAGCACCAACCTCGTAACCCCCTCTCTTGCCGCTATCCTCAACACCAACACAATCTTCTCCCTCAAATCCCGCAATTCCCCTTCATCCGCAAACTCCTCCCCACCCTCCTTTACCCGCGGAAATCTCGGCGCCGCAACCGTAACAACCACAACACTAAACCGCTCCTCCTCCTCCAACTCCACCAGATCCCGATCCAACGTATCCCGATACACGACTACACCGGGTGACACGATGCCCGCGCACGATCCGGGACCCGTGTTGGGCCAGGGATACCATTCGGGCCGGAGCGTAGCATACAGCGTAGATGAATAGCACAGTGCTTCTTCCTGTGTACGCGACAGCGTGTAGCGCCAGCCGCCTCCCGGTTGCTGGTCCGAGGCTAAGTTCAAGACACCGATTTTCGGGGCGCCGGTGGAAGAAGATGGGGGTGGGGTTGTTTGGAAGTGCCGGGCTAGGGCGAAGGCGTCGCTGTGTAGAATTTGTATGGGGTGGAGAGAGAGATTTGGGTAGGTAGGAGAGGATTTGAGAAGTGGGGGGAGTTGGGAGGGGATGAAGGTGCTGGTGAGGGTGCCGGTGGGGAGGGAGGAGGCGAGGGAGGCGGAGCGCGAGATTGTTTCTTCGCAGATTTTGCGGCGGGTTGCGAGGTCTAGCATCTTGGGGATTGATGGGGGATGGGTGTCACGCTGCGTGTAGGTAGGTTACTTTGGAGGTTGCCTAATTTTTTTTGCCAAGCCTATGCGCTGAGTATTGTCGTGAAGTTGGATTGTTGTGGCTACGTGTTGAGTTCAACTGCTAAACACTAGTCTCTGAGAGAGATGTTTAGATGGCAGCGAGTTTGATGTGCAGGGGCGCTGTGATGTTGGTGATAGTGATGGTAGTTCGAGATTGGTGTACTACTACTCTAGTATAAGTGGGGCGCTAATGTCTGTCACTATGTATTGAGATACTCTTCTTAACGAGATGCTATAGCTTCTGCTATGTACAACAACACCTTCTGTTAACTTTAGGAAAGTACTTTCTCCAACAAAATGCTATGCTTGCCGTGCAATACAAGAGTATGATGTGACAGCCGCCCGACCGCCTGCCTTCGTTCAACCTCAAGTGCGCAGAAAGCTTATGCCCCTTGCTCAGCTGCCGTCCCTTTATATCGTATAGAATAGATAACTAGTCACAAGAACTTCGCTATTCTTCAACATGCCAGCGTGCTTGTGTGTTAATTCAAACTCTCTCTGTTAGAATGCACGGTATGAAGAGCACTAAGCCTTAGCCTGAAAGTAGGTTAGACGTACTGTATCGCTGCTGACGCCAACCCCAGGATTGGACAGAGTCTAGCAGTGTATCTTAGCTGAGTAAAAAGGATATAAATGACCTGTCCCACTCTTTTCTTTGTGGGAAGGTGCAGTTTTCATTATAGTCGAAGGCATTGCTGGTGTGGCGGTGCGCTCCCATTGTAGCTTAGCGCGAATAGTAGATAGGCAGCATCTCACTCAGAGCTCCACGATCAATCTCACAAATACTGTTTGAACCTCTTGCACGATGCAATATAGATTAAAGTCTTCTTAGTACCATCTATTCTGGAGCCAAGGTTAGGGATGCGCCGGGCCGGCCATCTTCCCAGTTGCATGTATGTATAAGACGCTCATGCACGCCACTTAGGCAGCATATACGTGGCAAACCGAACACCAACAAGCACGTCGTACAGAATGAGCGAACTAGGCTGAAATCTTTCTATGGCTCTAGCAAGGCACTATTTGCGATTGGATCGGAATTTGACGCTTTCATTCGATAAGATATACTGTGCAACACTAGCGACGCCATCAAATCAACGCGACAGCTATCACTTTTCATCCATCTTCACTTCCACACCGCACAGATTGCTGTGTCGCCTCTCTAAAGATTACAACACAGGATGAAACGAATACGATTGTCGGATAGATTTGAAATACCGTCTCCAGAAAAGCGCCAGCGATTTGTAGCCGCACCGGCTGTGGAATATCCGGACAACGAAGGCACTCCCCAAACACGTCTAGACGCAGCGCGTCGAGAACAGGCTACTCCATGTTCCAGATGTTCACATATTGATGTTGAACATCTTTTTGTCGATCTAAAGGGCAGAGAAGGAGGGCAGACATTGATGAATCTTGGAAAACTTGGGCCAGAGACCCAGTTATCACCGTGTCCATTATGTCGCCTTTTCTATGTGGTCAAGATGCAGAATAATGAAAACCTCGAGGAAGACGACTATATTTTATACTCAAAGAGTCCTCCATCACCGTGTCCCTCTAATAGATCTGTTCTAGCTGTAGCTAGAGGAGCGAGTAAATGCAGGCAGGGAATGTCTTGGAACAGATCGATGTTAAATGGAAAGAACAGTGGATTCATCGCATCTTCAATAGCACCAGGGTCGAACCCTCACAGATTTTCAATACGTGCTCGGTCTATTGGTGCAAGATCAATCGACTTCGACATTGTTCGAGACTGGATGAGATTTTGCATCGAAGGTCACACGAAGCAGTGCGTCTAAGCTACCTCATCAACTTCGGACCTAAAAGACCTAAAGTTGATTGATTGCGAACAACAACGAATCGTACAATCATTACCATCAGCTAAATATTCCGCGCTCAGTTATATATGGGGTACAAACGGATTCGGGAATAATGATCGCTCCATCCATAGCGAACTTCCCACAACCTTGCCGAAGACAATCGAGGATGCTTTGAAAGTCACCAAAGAGCTGGGTCTTCGATACATTTGTATTGACAGGTATTGTATCAACCAAGACGATGATGTTGAGAAACAGATCCAGATTCAGCAGATGGATCTCATATATCAGAATGCATTCATAACTATAGTTGCTGCAATTGGCAGTGATCTACATTTCGGCTTACCTGGAATCGGGACATCGAGGAATGTCCAACACACGGCTTGGATCAAGGAAACATGCCTTGTATCAATTCTCCCAGACCCACAGAAGATCATCAGCACCTTTGAATGGATGCAACGCGCATGAACTTATCGAGAGAGCCTTTTCTCCACTCGACGTCTGGTTTCTACAATGGAGCAAGTCTATTTTGAGTGCCGAGACACTATTGCGTATGAGACGGTCGCCAATTTTGCAAATATCCAATTTTTTCATTTGTTCAACGTAGCCAGCCACGTTGAAAATCGTCCCTAGATAATATGCAATTATTTGAGCGCATACAGTGGGACGGAGCTATTTGTTGAAGCTGATCGTATAGGCGCTTTTGAAGGTATGTTCAACAATTTTAAAAGAAAGAAGTTCCCTGTGCGTCAATTTCTGGGTGTTCCAATTATGCCCGCAGCAATTGGGGGACCACAAGGAGGACCAAAGCCAGCACAACGTAGTAGGAGTGAGTCTTTCGCTGCGGGGCTTTCCTGGAGAAATTCTACATCGGGAATTAGGCGCACCCAATTCCCTACATGGAGCTGGGTGGGATGGACTGCTGCATTTTTCTACGGCAATTCATTATGCGAACCAGGGCTTAAACTCGAAAATGAAAGTCGATTGAAGGTTTTCGTAGAGAACCATGATGGATCAATTTCAGATATGGATGAGTACAATGACACAGAGCTGGAGATGGAACTAAGTATGTAATTCCTGTGGCAAATTTGTTCACGTCGAAGCTTGGACAATACCCATCACAATTCAATACTTGCCTGAAGGGGCAGCTGACTGGATGGAGAATATTCAATCCATGGAAGGATTGGGACAAAACATCTCTGGGTATTTTGCTGTATTTCAAGACGATGAAAGGATTTTTCGAATCCCTTTGTTTTCATTATACCAGACCTATGAGAAGGGCAATGATACACAGCAGAACTTCGCGCCAGACCTCGATCGGGGCAGTTTGTTAGGTATAGCCCTAGGCAGATGCGAAGACGTTTCCAATCTTGAGCTTTATGAAGAAATATTTTTCTTAGTTGTACACGATAAAGGACAGCATTTCGAACGCGTTGGGTGCATGGAGTTTTGCTCTGCGATGCTGAGATTGTTTCTTGACTTTAACGATTTAAGGTCCGATGAAACAATATGGATGCTTTGTTTTCGACAAAAAGAACGGAGAACAGTCCGCCTCGGTTAATGTTAGCATAACAGGTGGTGTTTTAGTAATGTCGGAGGATGGATATCTAGGTGATAGGCCTCACACGCAACGGCGTTTGCATACTACTGGTAGCTGCTTGGGCCATACAAATGTTGAATTCTAGAATACTTTCAATCACCCGAAAGTGGAGGTGTTCTATGCATAATCTCATAAACGTGAGGATTTGCGGTGAAGTCGTTATAAGGAGTATCGTGAGCGTCTCGTTACGCAGGGTGTCTTGCAACGCATGGGCGGGCTTAAACGATGCTTAAGGATCTCGGAGCGTCAGAGCTCTTGATCAAGAACCGGTGGCTAGTACCTTTCTTTACTACCAATAAGGTAAATGCATCCAGTGCTGTCATGTTGGTCGGATAATATCGATGCAGGTGGCCAACCCAAAAGCCTGGATTCTTGTATCCGTGACCCTCCGTCTCCTGATGATCCTCGCCTAGAAGATCAATACGCGCAACGAATGGATCCGTGCGCGCATGTTCGTCGGGATTATTGGCATTAACATCCGCAGAGAAGCGGAAGCGCTCCCCGCTGATGAGCGGGTAATTGCGTGTTACGTCCATAGAGTTGTTCGTGTGACCGAAGATCAGCGATTTCTCGTATACCCCCATAATGATGTTGTAATCACACCCTATTTGTCTGTCGTCTTAAAAATAGTGGTTTATCTTGATACAGCTGTAGAAACTAGGTGGGGCTCCGCTCATGCAGCGTGATATTGCATCGGCATGAATATTGAATAAGGGTCTAGTCTGCTATCAAACTTTAGGCCGCTGATGAGAGCAGACATATGCCGACATGGTTAGCCAAGATTTTGGTACCTTGCATGATTTCCCCACCTACACAATCCCCGCATTGGAAGCGAGAAAGTGGGTAGTAAGCTTTGCAGGGCTGGAAACATGGGGACAGGGGGACGAGCATAGGTATACAGATGTGGCGTCGGCTCCAATAATGTTATGCGACAGAGTTCGGGAGTCGCCATCATTTGTTTCAGCACCTCGGAGACGTGGCTCTGTGCCTCTACCAAACAAATAGAAAACCTTGGCTGGCTTCCTAGTTTGAAGTATTTTAGTATATCATACTGCTCATCTTATCTTGTATGCGTGCGATACGGATTAGATCAAAGCTTGCAGAATATTATGCAGTGATCCGGTGATATCCTATAACTGTGCAAACAATCCTGTTGAGTTTTCACATATTGCTTTTGGCAGGTGGCGTCGTTAGCATTCTCATAGCGTGTGGTGAACGACGCGACGGTGCAATGTCGATCAAAACGAAATTGTTACTAGTGCCCCGCGGAGAGAAATGCCGTATTACGTAGTCCCATATCCACGAGCTCTAGCTGGCGCTCAATGACCAATCGCTCTGCTCTGTATTGTTAACTGTGAGGCGTCGTAGCTGAACAACTCGTGGCAACCCCAAACCCTGACTCAGGCGCAACCGGATGATTGCACACAGATCAGCAGCTAGCCCTGTTAGCGATCGGTTTTGACAGCCATCCGCTACCCGCTCCCCGCTGGCACGGTGCAGCATGACCAACATGTTCTGGAGTAGCCTTTAGGTCATGTGGAGCACTCTGATAGCGCCAACTTTTAGGTATGTATAAGAGCCCCGTGAGTTCGTGACATAACAGCATGCATAATTGTCCTGAACTACGTAATACTGCAAATGAAGCGCGATTGAAGAAACCTAATTCTCCTTTTCTTGCTTGATCGTCTTGCAGGCACTCGGATACGCAATATCTCCCACCCACCTGGTAGGATATGCGCAAATGCTGCTGTTCTAGGCCATCAATATGTTGATTGTAGCATGGCTAGGATTAAATCCCTGGTTCGGAACCCAAAATTCATGTGCGAGTAAGTAGTCCGCCAGCACCGTGTCTTATCCGAAACATGTGAAGATCCAGCCAGAAAAAGCAAATGTCTATCGGAAAGGGCCCTGAACGGCCGGAAGAGTCGTACCAGTATAGCAGAAGGCTCAGCTCTGGTACACATGTGTCAGGGCGCAAAGTTATTATGCCCACCAAAAACATGGGGATAAATCAGTCTCCACCTATCCATCTGCATGGCGCAGGGGCCAGACAGAACCGGGGGGGATCGCCTGCGGATAGTGTCCCGTCCCGTCGCGTGGGTGATCCAAGGAGGTCCGCGCAAACCTTATGACATGTAACAGCGGATTCGCCACCGGAAATACGATTTTCAGAATGCCTTTTGAACGAGCATTTTTCTTTATAAACCTTGAGCGTGCTGGGTCCGTTCTACTATCTGGCATTTTTCTGCCACCAACAAACCACTCAGGATCATGGGTCTTCCGCTTCCCCAACAACTCAGAATACCATGCGCCTTCCTAGGTGCGCTGGGTATCGTCACTTTTGCACTCCGCTGCTTCGTTCGTCTGCGTATTGTTAAGGCCTGGGGCACTGATGATACGTTCATCACTCTCGCGTTTGTATGTTTGCGCAGCTTGATATCCCTTGCCACTTCGCCATCTTACTTACAATCTGCTAGATTATGCACATGTGGTACACTGGGACTTTGTTGACAGGCATTCATTATGGAACTGGTCGACGAACTTCAGAGATATCTGTAGAAGACTCAGTACATGCCATGCGTGTAAGTTTACAATCTCCCTGGAAATAAGGCAGTGTCTGAATCCCCATCTAGTGTTGGTGGCTGTGTTTCCTAGCGTACGCATGTTCAATCACCCTTGCCAAAATCTCCGCTGGTTTCTTCTTCCTTCGGGCCACAGGCAGCAAGTCGGTCTTCCGTATCACGACCTACGTTATCACGATACTCGCCGCAGTGGTTGGCTTCGGTTTCTTCTTCCTCAGTGTTTTCCAGTGCCTGCCAGTGAGCTTTTTCTGGACGCGCTTACAGGGAGATATCCATGGCAAATGCCTTGACATCGAAATTATGATAATAGCCACATACTTTTACGGAGCTGTCACTGCAGGAACAGACATAGCTTGGGGCATTTTGGTCGGAGCGCTCATCTGGAAACTGCAAATTGACCGCCGCACAAAAATTTTGACAGCACCTTTTCTAGGTCTGGCATGCATGTAAGTCAAAATGCCCCTTGAAAAATAACTTCGATTGACGATAAAAACAGTGCAAGTTACGCTGCCCTCGTGCGAATGCCCTACGTTGCCAACTTCAAAAACCCAGATTTTCTATGTAAGCACACCATAAACAAGAATACACGTTCTCTTCAGTCCTAACCACTCCACTCTCTACAGACGCAACCGTCGAAATCTCCATGTGGTCCACAGTTGAAGTCGGCGTTTCCATCTGCGCCGCCAACCTCGCCACCATCCGTCCTCTAATTCATCACTTCGCACATAAAGGCGAATCTTGGGAATCGCGCCAGAACAGGCCGGGTCACGCCGAACTGGCAACCATACCCGACTCCCAGGAACTTCCTGTGCTGGAAATGCCACCAAAGACTGCAGAAAGCTCGATCACACATACGGATCCGAAGAGTAGGAATGGCGGGAGCGGAATGACGAGAAGCATATCCAATTGGAGCAGGTGGACGCGGAAAGACAGTGCGGCAAACGTGGACATTCATACTCCGTGACGCCTCGAAATTCAGTCAAAAGGGAGAAAAGCGTAAATCATTTCCGAAACTTTGTACAATATGGCATCTCAGGTGGGGCTTTTGTCAAACACAAAAGTTGTCCCCCCTCCCCTTTATTGGCTCATGGCCTTGTTTAGAATTTTAATCGCAGCCTAGATAAATGCTGCTTCAATCTTCACAAGCGGCCTGCCAATTCGTGGTCGTATGGTGGCACGTAGCTGATCAACGCAAGCGCCCCCTGTCGTATCCCTATACACTTTATTTCTCAAAACACTATAGACACGCGTCTTAGCCCTGATTGCTCGCTTCTGCGCTAGCTCCAGCGCTATATCGAGCCTTTGGTCTGTGGGATCAATAGCGTCGACGATTGCGTCTGCAAGGGCCGCTCGGGCCGTCGAGCGATGAGCCGGTAGTAGTAGCATTTTGTGGGCAATGTCGGGCCGCAGAGTAGTATGTAGCGTGGAGCAAAGTCCTCTTACATTCAAAGCGCCTACCGAGAGTTATGGGCGACTTTCACTTCTTGCTAAAAAGAAAAAAATGGAGACATAGATAACCAGACTTGCATGCATGATCGCACATGCATTTGCCCAATCTACTTTGCCGTCGTTACAACTTATGTCTCTTCTCCCCCGTCCTAATCTTCTCAAACTCCCTCTGCGGAATCCCCAACGCCTGTCTTTTCAACCCCCCCATCAACTCAGCCACCACACTCTGATCAACCTGCTGCTTCATCGACAGCATGAGAAGCTTCTTCGTCTCAAGCAAACTCGAGCCCACCAGATGCGGACCTAGGGTATCATCAACATGCGCAATCACTCGCTCCCTGAGCTTCTCATCCTCGCCCTCAGCGCAATCCTCAAAGACTTTGTTGACAAACCCACACGCAACAAGATCATCCGCCAAAATCTTTCGACTCGTAAGAAGCGCCTCTGTCGCCTTACTCACCCCCATCCGCCTCACAAACCCCACTGAAGCACCGCCTTCAGCGATGAGCCCGAGGCTCGTAAAAGGTGTGAGGAGGTAGGCGTGGGGAGCGCAAAAGATGAAATCAGAAAACGAAACCAGTGCCGCTGCGATGCCTACAACAGGGCCATTCAGCGCCGTCACAAGAATTTTCGAATGCGTATAAAAAGCTTCGGTAGAGTTGAGGGTGTAGGATACCGTTTCCCTGAGGGATTCGCGCCAGATGTCTGTGCCGGGATCGATGGCATTGCTGGTTGAGATGTCTACTCCACTGCGTGGTTTGAGTGAGCGGGGCGTGAGGATGAAGAGATGATTGAGACTTACGCGCTGAAGAATCTGCCCGTTCCTGTGAGAATGGTGATGAAGACTTCGTCGTGTGTGTCTATTTCTCGCAGCCGCTGGGTCAAGAGGTAGAACCCGTCTTTTGTTAGAGCTCCGAGCTTTTGGGGGCGGTTGATGGTGAGAATGGCGATTCTACCTAGGTATTCCACGGTGATCCATGAGTCTGGTGCTTCGGGTGGATCAGACATGGTGGTTCTTAAAAACTCTTTTTGATAATCATTATCATTGGTAGTTTTTTAAATGAGTGTCAAGGAAACGACAACCGATCTCAGGTCAAACATTTTCAAAGATCCAGAAATGTGTAATATTACTTGCGGTAAGTTTGTTCTCCCTGCTACATAATCGACACCGGAGTTTTAATAGTTCGGCATTTTCCCCTTCGGTGCCCCGGTAACAAATGTAGTAACAATTTTGGTCGGGCCGACGACTGCACTCGAACAATAACATCACCAACCCACCGAGCACCCTCCCCAAAGTGCTGTGGGCCCGAAAAATTCTTGGAAACTTCCCCGTACTGTCTCTTTGGTTTCTGAGCAATCACCTTCCCCTGAAAGAACTGTTCTCTCTGAAGTATCAACAAACTTTTCAACCTGTCCTCACGCAAGCCTATTTACTCTTTCAACATGAAGAAGAAAATCGTAGTCTATTTCAGATGTCTCCGAATAGAAAAATGGGGGGTTCAAAGTCTCCTAAACATATGTCATAACATCCAAATGAGCGCTAGGCGTACTGCTGTCCAGAGATAGGTTGCGAAACCTCGATACTCGAGAGACCGCAGTGCGGCATACCAAAATACTGTTCATCGCCATGCAACATGAACGCACCCCACTTGAGTTCCTTCTCCCAGGGAGCAACTTCATACGGCCTTGCAAAACAAGATGCGGCGATCGCCGCACTGCAAGACCCCACCAATGGAGCAGGACTCAGCTTCTTCCTACCCAAAATGAACATGCCAATCGCCAAAACAACAGCGACAACAAAGGAAAGCAGGATGCCTAGTGGCGAAAACGAGAGAGATATGAAATCCTCTCCACAGCTACCACTGTAGGTATTGCCATTTGGTAGAAGGAACTCGGGATCCCAGTGTTGGCATCCTCCAACCGTACTATGCTCACCATACATATTATACAACTCTACCGAGACCACAAACAAGCTTTGCGACGCCAGCCAGTGCAGTAGCGTCGAGAAACCCAAGAGCGGCAACGCATAACGATACGGAAGCTGCAGGAAATACGTACTGCGCTGGTGTCCGCGCCGACTCGTCGAAACGCGAAGTGGCTTGTAGCGGTTGAAGAAGGCGGACCACTCGTCTCCAAGGAGCATCGACGTGATAGCTGCGTTGTAGGAGAAGTAGATGAGGGAGATGATTACTTGGGGACTGTTTGCTACAAAGACGTTTGAGAAGACGCCGAGGAGGCCGGACGAGGCGGTGCCGTCTTGCACGATGGTGCGTGGATCGACGTTGCCGAGGCCGATGCCGAGGATGCTGCGGAGACTGTTGTCGCCTCGGATTGAGATGTAGGCGTAGAAGAAGAGGAAGATGAGTACGCTAATGCCTGTGAATAGGCTGGTGCGGAGTTAGTGGGGCAAGTAGCAGTATGTTGGTGAAGGAGGAATAGATGCTTACGCCAGACGAACGGTCCATCGCTTTCCTCTCTTGACTGCTGAAGACCATCTGCCCGATTTCATTGTGAATGTTCTCGGTTGCTGCTGTGCTGGCCACGCCTTTCTCGCAGTATGAATGTCTTGCTGAGATACAAGACACATGTTGTGGGCTATCGTGTCTGGCTCGCGAAGAAACGATGCCACCGCATCTCCAACCGTTAACATCGGGTCGTTGCGAAGAGTGAAGAGACCGGTAAGAATAGCAGCTATCTTCACCACATTAAACGCAATGACTATCAGCATCAGGTGAACACTGAAGCTCAACTTGCATGTCGGCCCCGTGGCCTCGCTGAGGCAACTTCGCACGCGGTGACCAGCAAACGGTGCCCACATTGACGGATCTTCCTGGAGCCGAGGCAGGAAGCGACCCGCTTGCTGCTGGAAACACGAACCGGCTTCCCCTTCAAACTGTCTGTAGATCCATGACGTGCCTGTGTCTGCCGAGCAAGTACCCGTGCGTTCAATGTAGTTGAATGCGCCGTAAATCTCGTCGGGTCCCATAACACCTTCGTCAATGACGAGGAAAACATTGCCTCTGGCTGACTGGAAAGTGGCACTGTAAGCATCGATGCATTCGCGCAGCGTAAGGTTCTCAAGCCGGCCGGCTTTGAAAGCCTCTGCGTACAGTTGGCCGTTGATGTACGGGTTGCTGATATAACCGCCTGCACTGGTAGTGTTCATTGTGCCGTTAAAGGTCCCATTCTCTATCGCAGCCTTTGTCTCAGGGCCGAATTCGATGACCCCGTATGTCTGGGCGGAGGTGGACATGAAGACTACCGAGTTGTAGCTATCAAGCGTTAGTGTGCACGTTGACGAGTTCGATCATCATCGATACTGCTTACCAGAGATGCAATGGAAACGAAGAAAGACCCAGTATCCACCAGCAAACCTTCTTGCGCGCCCCAAAACTGGAAGACATGATGTTTCCCATGCTGGGTATGCCGACGTCGAGCCAGTTTCCTTTTCGATGTGCATCTTCGACTTCGGATCGGGTGGGAGCTGAAAGACATTGCATGCAATAATTACTCGCACCTAGAATTGCGGTGCTCAAAATGTTGATGAGCAAATGTACGCCAATGTTAACCTTCTTGGTGTAATCACATGTCGCTTCGTAGAGTATGCCAACACCGTTCGTCGCACCTTTGGTACGCAGTGCCCACACTAGGAAGGCAGTGTTGATACAGAGTACTGCAAGTCCCAGTAGTATGAACAGATACAAGCTCTGCCGCCATTTCTGTGTCTCTTTTCGCTCTTGAGTCGTCCCGTCGACGTTGTTCCCGTTGTGTGTTAGGAAAGGCTGCAGTTGCGCCTCTGGTCGCTTCGACATATGCACTTGGTACATAGTAGCATCATAGAAGAAGCTTGAGATGGAATTGAACGTAGTACAGAAATGCGAGGACGGAATTTTGTGCGCCATTGCAAGATATATGCAATGCCACGATGCATGTAGGCTCCAAGCTGTCCAACCTCGCGCCATGGCGTGCGGCTGATAGTCATGAGCGCTCATGATGGCAACTAGTAATTGGGCGCCAGTTGACGCCACAAGGCCACTGCTCGCTTGTAATTGGTTGCTCTCTATTGGGAAGATGCAGCTAATGCAAGCTGCAACAAGACACGCTTCAGTGCTCAATTGCTAAAAGACCAAAGCGACGACCTTTTCACAGCCGCATTGAACTACCTGACACGTACCTACACCGCCTTCTGTGACTATGTTGCGCGTGTACTTTGTAGTTGTAGATGCACGTAATAGTCTGGAAAAATGTTTGCAACGATTTACAGCTAAGGAGTAGAAATGCTTGAGTCAAATGACAAAGGAGGCTTCATGTTGCTATTAGGAAAGGGATATGGTAGGACCAAAGGACACGATAGGCCATACACACTTATTATTTCCAAATCTTTATCGATTCAGTTTATATTACAATATCAACAGAAACTGATGATTGAGTAATTTTTCAACCTCCACTAGCTTAATCAAACACATCCGTTGCAAATCTTTCATTGCGCAGCCCCTCGAACCACTCCTTGGCCTTTGTATCATCCACATCTCTATTTTCCTTCTCTCGAATCGTCTCCTTTGCAATCTTGATCAGTGTCTCCTGAACTCCGTCACCAACACCACGAGACCCGCATACGAATACCTTGGCACCAGCATCGAAGAGTTTGACGACTTCTGCGCGATCGTGATAGATACGGTCCTGGACGTGTTTGCAGCCGTGTGTCTCTTCGGGTTGCCTTGAGAAGGCCAGGCGAAGAGAGACTGCACCCATGTCTTCCCAGCGCTTGAGCAAGTCGCTGTATATCAGGTCAATGGAAGGTGAGTGACAACCGTAAAACAGAATGGCAGGAGCCAGCTTGCGGCCTGCTGCCGCTTGAGCAGCACGTTCCTGGATGAAACCTCGGAAGGGCGCCAGACCCGTTCCAGCGGCGATCATGATAACGGGAACATTCTGTGAGTCTTTGGGGAGATGGAAAGCCTGATGCGAAGAGCGTACGTTGACATGGAGTTTGTCCCCAGGCACGAGGTTGGCGAGGTAGTTTGTTGCTACACCCACATACCGTCCGTGTCCGCTAAGGGCTGGCTGGTCGACCACCGAGTATGTCAATGTGACGTGGTTCGGGTTCCACAGTGGTGAAGACGAAATGGAGTATTGTCGAACACGCATAGGCGGTAACATCTTGAGGAAGATACCCAGGGGAAGCTTCGTGGATGGGAAGCGCTCCAGGAGATCTAGCACCGAAACTCGCTTTGCAGTGATCTCCGAGCTAAAGGCTTCTTCTGCAAGACGAGTGAGCTCCTTCTTCTCGGCATCGTCCCGGGTGCTCTCGAGGAGGGCTTGGACATTGCGTTTGCTGGCGGGTTGCGCAAGTTCAACATATGCCCCGAAAACATCAGTGGCGCTAATGGGAGTATCGGTTGGGAGGATAGTAGGACCAGCGGAGTTGATTGTGAGCATTGAGTCCCAAGTGAGACCAAAGTATCTCATCGCGCGATGGATGTTCTCCTTGGGGTTGAGGGGTAAGACGGCTAGATAATCGCCTGCAGAGTACGTCATATCAGACGGCAGACTGATCTCAATGTGCCTTTTCTCTGTGGCATCAGAGCTGGAAAGAACCTCGACCTCCTCAACGCGAGCCTCACGAACATCTTGGCGCAGCGTGGATGATCTTGGTGCGGTGACCTCGACATCCAGCGTCGTCTCCAAGGAGCTCTCTGCATCTGCCTCTGTAGAACCGTACTTTTCGCGCAAGGCAGGCCACAAAACTTGGTCCTCCCATGTCTCAAAATCGGTGAAGATGTCACCAGCTGCAACGTCAGTAGTACCCATTGGCACCAGTCTGGTAGCACCTCGCTCCTCCAAGGTAGCATCAAGGTACTTTGGAACCTTGTGGAAAGTCTTTGCCCAATCGCGGTGGCCGCATCCGAAAACGGCGTACGAGACATTCTCGAGCTCTTTTTCTTTGAGCGTGCCCACCCAGTTGACAAAGTGCGCGGCATTATCAGCGGGCGCTCCTTCGTAAGATGGGGTCACAATAACGACAGGTTTGTCGGTAGGAAGGTTCTCGCGGGCAGTGTCCAATGTGTTCACCACATCTACCTTGAAGCCATGGTTTGCAGCATCGCTAGCTAGTCGATTTGCAAGTGCTTCGCAAGTTCCAGTGTTGGACCCATAATAGATAGCCATAGGCTTCCCGTTGCTGGTTGCGGCTTTTTTGACAGGCCCACCCTTGGCTAGGGCTGGTTCATTGATGCTTGACGAAGCCAGAGATCGTTCAAGTGAGGTGGGGGATATGCCGCTGCGGAGATGTGCATGCATATAAAAGTCTTTTGGCTTGATGGTGAGCGTCTGCTTGATCTGGAGTTGATACGACGAGTCATCCATTGTGAAGTTGAAATTCTGCAAAAGAATAGCAAGCACCAAGAGAGCTTCTTGCCAAGCGAATGGCCTGCCGATGCAAGCGCGCATGCCGTTACCGAAGGGCTTCCAGCAGTCGGGAAACTCTTTGTTGCGTCGTTCGAATTCTTCATCCAGCATTCGTTCTGGGCGGAACTCCTCGGCATCTTCGCCGTAGACAGCAGGATCACGATGTAACTAACACAAGAGAGATTAGTTGTTTTGATACGGCCACGGATTGGCAAAACTGTCTTACCATAGCGAGAAGTGTGACTATGGGAACACCGGCTTTGATGGCATATTTGCCTCCAATAGTAGTGTCTTCCTTGGCAGTGATTCCGAAGGAAGGAGCGGTCGGCTGTAGGCGCAGACTTTCTCGGAGCACCGCGTTAAGGTATGGGATCCGTGACAAATGCTCGACTGTGATTGGACCCTTACCAATGACGTCGTCCACCTCTTGCTGAGCCTTTTCGTAGGCTTGTGGGTTCTTCAGCAGGAAATAAAATGTGAAAGAAAGCAAACCTGATGTAGTTTCGTGACCAGCAATCAAGAAAGTTATCATGTTGTCAATGACGTTATCATCCTGTGGATGTTAGCGAGAGTTTCCGAGAGAAGCAAGGAATGGTTGACATACACTCATTTTCTCACCCGTCTTTGGGTCCACACCACTGAGCATACCGTTGAGCAGATCTTTCTTGTCGGTGGGGTTTTCTCTCCTTGTCTCAATGACTTCCAGACTAGTCTTGCGCAGCAATTCTATGTCTCTCCAGTACTTCTGGGTCTCTGCACCATAGAACATTTGAGAGATGGGATCCCTTCGCGCCCGGTCGCCACTGGTTCTCAAAAAGTCGGCCATGGCATCGACGAAAGGATGCATACGTTCAGAGTAATATGAATTGAAGCGATAGTCCATTGCACACAGAGCAATGGTATCCAGTGTTAGCCGTGTAAAGTCGTCAGTGACGTTTATGACATTTTCGGGTCCATGTCTCGCCCACTTCATCACCAACTGAGAGGCAATATCGTGCATCTCGTCGAACATGTTGCGGATAGCGAGTGGACCAAGCTGGGGCATCAGTATGCGATGTGCAATACCCCAGTTCTTCTCTTGCGGTCCATATGCTGTGAAGAGTCCATCGTGAACACCATTGCGGACCTGATCTAGAGAAGCTGCAATGATTTTTGAAAAACGTTCCTCATCGCAAATTTCGTGCATATGGCGCTGATCGGCAACAACGATTCGCTCGCCACCCAGCCAAAACTTCCATACCGGGCCTGGAATGATCAGTGGTCTTTTTGTAAATTAGATAGCAATACCCTGTCACAATCTGGTACGGTTGATGCAGCGTTGCATGGAGTTTGGGAATTTGAAACAAGTTCAAGGTTTCCTTGGATTTTTTTGGTTTGCCCATGGTTGACATTGGGCGTGCATTGGAAAACTGTGGGAAGATGTATGGGATGCCACTTACCATATTTCAAGGTCAAGTTGCACATTGACTGTATGGGGCAGTTTGCGTCGATATCTGCAATGTTGCCAACAATGGGCAGGCCAGGAGGGCCTGGGATTGGCTCAAGCTCCATTTCAGCGACACGAAAACGGCAATGCAGTGAAAAGGTAAAGAATCTAGAATGAAACAAAAGGTATGGTTACAAGTGTGCAGGATGTGCTGTGAACAGTATGCTCTTATATAGGACGGATGAAGATGAGAAGAAAAAAATCTCCGTTACAGCACGTCGTTTGCCAGATGACGCGCTGGGACGTGGCTAGGTTCTCTATGCGTTCCAAGTGGTGCCTTCTCCTATGTTGGGACCTATTGATGCGTGAGAAAGATGCCTCGGTCGTCAAGGAGAAAGTCGAGCACGGTGATTCGTTGTTTCTGACTAGGGCGGTGCTCCGACTGTGCGCTAAAGGTGGGGCGCCACATGCAAGAAATGGCTCGGCCGTGATGGAGTCAATGCGAAAAGTGGTATAAAATCAGAATGGATTGATGGCCGGGGTCCAATTGTCACCATGGTACAGCGCAGAAGGGTGTTTTGGGAAGTCAAAGTGCTTGGAGAGAATGAGACAAGGTCAATGTCGGGGCGGAGAAAAAGAGGGACATGCCGATCCTGACGCCATGCCAGCGCAAGTCTCGCGTAGACATTGGCCCATGTCATTGCTGGTGTGGCCATGCACATGTCTTATTCGAGCAACTGTAGCCACGCCGACGATGTAGGGTCGGAGGCTCCGCTGGCACCGATGTGCCGAGGTTGAGATGAAGGAATCGTCTGCGTGTGCCTGTGCGTGCTGTCGGAGCCAGACATCTTGGCAGTCGGACGCCTCAAACTGTGGACACTTCGGCCGCTTGGTTTCATCTTGACACGCCCATCGGCCATGGTACTCTGTGTGTAGTAGTATGCTGTTGAGCGGGCAGTGGGCGGGTGGTGTCTTCCGGGCCCGTGACCCCGGCCAATGGCAGCATAGGACATGCGACGGTGAAAGGACCATGCTGGTTCGGGCTAGATCTCCCGGACGCCCTCCGCAGCTTCCTTCCCCGCATGCTGCACTTGCCCATCTCCAACTCCCCCAATGGCTGTCCCATTGCCGCCAGCGTCCAACCTCCATGCCATCCTCCTCGTCACCAAGTCGCGCTCGCTAGGGCCTCGTCTCGTCTTCCACTATCCTCCACTGTCGCCATCGGCAGCCGCTCTTGCAGCTGCCAAAGACCCGGCCTGGTTCCGTCACGACGCGTCGACAGTGAGCGGCGAGTCGCGCAGCTCAGATAGTGACTGGGACAGCAGCACTGACTCGGACGACGATAACGATGTCGAAATAGGGAGTCGTACGAGTGGCGGCCGAGGATCCGGAAGAATCTTGACCGGCCGAGTGAGCGACAGGTCCAAGCTTGGCGCTGGCGTATGGGGCAAGCAGGAGACCATTGACGAGGAAGACGCCGACCAAGATGACGACAACAGCAGTAGAGAACGCAGGGGAAGGGGAGGCGACCATGATTGGGACACTGTTTTGGGCTTCAAGACAGACGCACTCGAGAAGATGCTGAGCCCCAGCAAGGACTACAACAAGCGGCGCTTCGAATTGGGCGTTGAGAGCATCGTCTTCGTCGGCGCGCCCATGTTTGTAAGAGAGGATGGGCTCTGGAGGAAACTCAAACGAAAAAAGAAGAAGCGATCCGACAAGGAGAAACTAGAGGACATCCATCTGGCAAAGAACCTGCCCACCGCAGCTGCCGACGATGATGATGACGATGGCGCTGATTCTCCTGAACCACCCCCAAAGCCAGCTCCTGAGCCGTTTAGATACCCAGAGGGCTTCGAGCCTGGTTACGGGCATGACTCCATGTCTAGTGGACCATCCGCAGCCCCGTCAGAAGCTGGGTCCGATACTCGAAGCAACTCGACTACCCACGACAATAACCCCGACATGACCATGTTCAATGTTGTCTTCGTGCTGAATCCTCCCGTCTTAGAGTATCAACAGCGTGTCAAGGAAATGTATGACAACGTCACGCGCAAATACGCAAAGGCGCTCAAGTACGAAGAGGCGCGCTTCCAGTATGTGTGGAAAGAGTCGAAGCGCATCATCGACATCAAACAGCGAGCAAAGGAAACCAACCAGTCTCTTACAGAAACATGGCGCAAGATTGTCAACACATCGCCTCTTGCCAAGTCCATCGCAATCATGTTTGATGCAATATCGCATGACAAGATTGCGCATATCCACTTCGATGCTACCTTTAACACGTCGTTTCAGATACCTCAAGCAGACTCCACACCATATCTGCCCAACGCTATGGAACCACAAATGCCGGGCTTATGGCTGACAACGTCGAATGTTGTCCTCGAGGATGATGAAGCGCCCATGACACAACATGCTGCCTTGCTGCTCCTTGAAGATGCAGAGGTATTGATCAAAGACCTCGGTGGAGATGCATCAGGCAACGCTGCTGCTATAGCCTTCTACATTCGTAACATCATACCCACCAAGTCACTTTTGAAAATCTCCAAAAGACACAACATTTCAGCCCACGACATGGAGTATATAGCGAGCCATCTCGTCTATTGGCGGCGGGCGCGCCTCATCGCACCCCTGTCACCGCGCGATACATATATTGTCAGTCCAAACGCCGACATGACGGTTCTGCCCGCCGCCATTGCTGTCTATTCACAACGCTTTCCTACCTTGCCTACTTTGCCAAAGATATTGAGTATGCTTTCTGGTACACCCCGGCCGTATAGAAGTTTCATTCCAACAGCTGAACACCGCGACGCCTATATGGAGATTCTAGCTTGGCTGATGCGAGGTGGCTGGGTGACACAATTACGTACCTTTGCCTGGGTGCGTGTAACACCGGAGATCAAAGCTAAAGTCGCTACGGAAATGGATCGCGAGGAGCGCATCAAAAAGGCGGAAGAGGCGCGCAAAGAATTACTTGGAGACAATGAATCAAACGCCGATAGCTTGCTTTCTAACAAACGTAACAGTTTACTGTCTTTGAGCTCTGCGAGGACATCGTCACCGTTACGACGCACTAGAAGGGATGGAGAGGACGAAATGGAAACGAGCACAATTCTGAGCCCACGACTTTCGTCCACAGCAATGACACGCAGCTCTTCTGCGCGCACAGGCTCGGATGCCGGAAGCACGACTAGTCAACGAACAACAATTGCGCTCAATCCCCAACGGGCCGAATCACCATCCCACATTGGTCTTCGAGACGTCAGGCCGCATCGACCCTCGCCACTGCACTTGAAGCCTACTTCTCCCTCTCCATCTCGCAATTCCATCGTCTCTCCGACCTCTCCCCTAGAAAAACCGCCGCCGTTAGATCCCTCGTCCTTTACCCACACCACTATTCTCTCGCCTCAAAAAGCATCTTCTCTTGAGGCCCGATGGCTGGACAAGATTGCGCAGACTTTTGAAGAAACTGGGATTGAGTCTGCAAATCCAAGCCCTCCTAAGAATGCCGACGGTGGACTGGGTGGCATAACAGGAAAAGAGCTAAGGGAAAGCTGGCCAATGCTCTTGAGGCATTTGGATGGTAAGCATGCGATTGAGGACGTGTCAGCCAGGGAAGGTATTAAACGGAAAAGAGTAGCGGCACTATTCAATGCTGTTAAGGAGAGAGGATGGCTGGTTATCACACGGCATTGGTAAGATGAGTTGTTCTCGATCAAAGCGTTACCCGTTTCTTCATACTATTTTGTTGTATCTAATCACCAAATGGGTGTTGGAATACATAGCAGATAACGTTTTGTATACTTTGGAACCTGTGGCATACATGAATTGTAGAGTTACAAACGTGAAGCTGTAGATCCAGTTCTTGGGAATTGGTAATATAAACATTTTAGAGGCTGATTGAGAGTGTAGACCTTTCATGCGGCCCGAATGCGCAATGCACGTCATCCCGAGGTTTCAAGTGTTGCAACGCACAGGCCAGCGACCAGTCAATTGCGCTACTAAGTTTATCCAAAGCTCACTCCATCACAAAATACACATCTATCTGCGCCGTTCCTACGTCTTTGTAGTGTACCGGATACATTTGACATCTAGCTGATTGTTTTCCCTAAACAATCACGTCGCTACTATGAGTAATCTCGGTGGAGCGGGCTTGGGACAAAAAGTCCAGAAGCCGAACCCGTAAGTGCACCTCAATGCGCCTGTCGCATATTACAGCGGCAAGGAAGCCGACAGGAGACTGCTCTTACATGACTTAATTGTACAGTTCTTTGGCTAACCAGAAGCATGTAGGCCCGAACGTGGCTCATTTCCTCTTGACCATGACGGTACGTTTTGCTATGACCGCTCCCTTAATATTCCGGCTTGCTTGCTCGACACTGCCTACCGTCTGCGTATCCAACTTCAGGCGCTGACAATTTGCCCAGGGGAATGTAAAAGCGTCATGATGTCATATCTACGATGCATCAAGTCCCACCGGGGAAGCAACGACCCCGAATGCCGCGACCTTTCCAAGTCATACCTTTCTTGTCGTATGGACCGGTACGTAGACTGCCCCGCCGGCTCTACAACAACCCTATTGGGCTACAATAGACAATTTTATAGAAAAAAAAGGACTGGGCTCATATCTGTCGTGATAACAGGAATCTCATGGCACCCGATTCCTTCAAGAATCTGGGATTTGGTGACGACAGCGAAAACCTTCAAACATCGCAGTCCCAAGATCAAAGCAAGACCCGGGGAGCGTAAACAGGATCAGCGAATCAATAGATGTCAAGGTTTCATGCGGCCTGTTCAGCAAATCCCATAGCATGTGAATAGCCGAGCCGCCATACGAACCCCACTGCTATTCCCTCGCTACCTCTTCGACTTGGCGGGCCGTATTCGCCACCGGCTGAGACCCGCCATGCGCATTCATGCAGCTGCTCAGCAGCCGTGACAGGTTACATTGACAAGACGGCATGCATGCCAGGGCGCGAGGCATGAGACACCACATGGGTCGAAAATGGGGGCATGGGAACTGAATTGAAATGGCTGACGACGGACATGGAACCAGGGTTGCATGCAACAGAAGCAAGCAGGGAAAGTACACTTAGACCTACAGATAGCCCCAGCTTGGTGCACCTAGGATGCTTGCAAAACATTTGAAAGGATGGGCTATGATCATATGCGCCACGACGGGTGGAGAAACAGCACGCAATCCCAAGGCCATATGACTGCTTTTTCTTGAGGCACCCTCTTTTTTTCCTTTTGTGTGAGTGGGGAGATTGGGAGGGAGGGGGATGTGAGAAGGCGGGGTTTCTAATCCTGTACAGTCACATCTCTCTCTTTTCTCCTCTATCTTTTTCTCCTCAACTCCCTTGAAAATAGTTATTACCGGATCTAACCACCATTTACTATCATCCTAGTATCAGCCTGACATGTAGCATGCATGAAAAATATCCACAAACCCGCATACATACACCATTCCCACATTCCAATCCACACCCACAACATGAACATCGTAAACCATCTTTAGTTAGCAACCAGAAAAGCCACATAACGCTTGCCGGCGCAACCGAGACATGTCTCTCCCTCTTCTTCCTAACCCCGCGCAAAACAAAAAAACAGATCCAGGAACCTGTTTCTGTCGATCGCCCTCAGTGCGCGACCGTTGTACAGAGCATCCTAGCATGGGAAGAGGAGAAATGCTGACACAAGGTTCCAAGCAGTGATCGGCATTCCACCCCCTCCCCCTCCCCACACACACCCTTTGCTTTCCCTACTACAGCATCTTGTCAGATGCCAAATTTTTTCGTGTTGCGTTACGCACCCCTCTTTCTTGGGAAAGTTCGATGGCGCGACGGGGGGGGGGAAGGGTGCGTGGGTGCACGGTGCGTATGCTGTGGAGGAGGGTGGGCAAGGGTTCGTGAGGAGATTAATGGCGTCAAAGACAGACGAGCGTTTAGGGTTGGTATAGTTAATATGTGGTTTCGCACATGTATTTATGAAAGACGAAATCGACGGTTAGTTAGATTCCTTTCTTAAAGTGAGAAAGTGTGGTGCCTGAGTCGACGGGCTTAGGGGAGGTGAGTGTATGGTATGTATAATCTTTGAAAGAGCAAGGTCGCTGGATAAAAATGAATTAATACTTCACGTTTTCTTCATATGTACACTTTTTTTTTCAGTGTAGGTGAAATGAAGTAGGGGAATAGAAATAGATATACCCCCTGATGAAGCCACTGATTAAAATACACCAATCTTACCAAACCCCCTCTTTCCTCCTCAATATTCTTCTTTCCCACCACCCTCCCACAACACCCAACATCTCTCTCCCCTCTTTCCCTACCCTCGCATACACGGCTACCTGCATAACTCCCCGTGGTACCGCAACCGTTTTCTTGCGTCACCTAGTTTTTCGTACGATACGGGGGGGGGGGGGAGGCGCGCTTTCCATATGATTGGTTGCGGGTCTGCAGACCAAAAGGTTTGGGAGGAAACAACGCCCCCTCTCTCCTCCCTCTCCCCCGGGGAATTGATCGGCGGGAGGGGCTTTTGTACACAAACGCGTACGTAAAACACTGCTTTTTTTTTTGAAAGAAAAGCCCATGTCGGCAAAGAAATGGTTAGAAGTGGGATGGAGGATGGATAGGAAGGGGGGGATTACACCGAGATACGATAAAGTAGCCGTCCACAAGTTACCAGCCTAACCTGCCTACCTACTCGGCGTATTAGAGAAGTGCTTGAACCTCACTGCGTTGGCATTCACGCACAGGGCCTGTTTCCAGATCCGCTATAACCCGGTCCTGGCATGAGTCCCTCCATCCTAACCCTTATCCTTTCATCCTTCCAAGGACAAAGGGGCAGCAATCATATTTGTTTCCAACTAAGACCAAACAAAAAGGGTACCTAGACCGTGCTCTATACACTGCTCCCAGTCATCTCATAATGCCACTCCCCCCCTCCAAAAAAAACAAGGCCAAATCAGAGGAACAAATCAAATGAACAAATAGAGACAAGAATAAGGATTAGTATGATATGATGTCAGCGGCATAAAACCCACAAATCCATAACTATTATTGCCCCAACTTTTCCCAACTTGATGACTGTAAGACTTGATTTGTTTTCCTTATCTTTTGTGTGTGTCTCTTTGTCCCGTTCTGCATAAGAAGAAGAAGAAGAAGAAGAAGAAGAAGAGGAGCAAGCTAAAGGATGCATGGTTAGACGATTAAAGCCATACGTCGGCAAGCTTGAGTTTTTTTTTTCTTCTGTGGAAATGTGGCGCAATTGCCCATGAGAGGGAAAAAATAAAAAAAAACACTAGTATTATGTGGTTGCTTGCTAGGCAGGCGATTTCAAGGAATCGCAGGCTCTCTCTCTCCGCCTGAAGGGACCTCTTATCCCGAAACCTGAGAGTATTCAGCCTTCCGGGATTTGAGACATGTGTTGCCTGGAACCGGTTCCCCTGGCGTTAATCCCGGTGAACCCTTTTCGGGTAGCAGCGACTTGATCGAGGCGTGATGGTCGTTGCCCTCTGTGATGCTTACCTGGAGGACACATCAACAAGGGCGTGGCTGCCTGCAGCGCTTGAGAGCCTCATTCCAGGCAACCACAACACAAAGCGCATGTCAAACAAGTTTTGTAATGTCATGAGATTCAAACTAGAACTAAAACAATCAGTGCCTAACGAAAACAGAACGCGAGTGAACAAACATTCCCAAACAGCCTATCGTGACGTAGAACCTCGTCTTCCCCAGTAACATCAGCGTCAGATACCACAAACGCCATAAATCGAACACGCCGATCCATGCTTATGATGTAACCTCATTGGCCAAAACCATATATTAAAAAGAAATCACAGTGATGATATGCAAACCTGAGCAGACAAAACAAACAGTACATGCCATAGATATCCGAAGAAAGGTCAGTTAGAGAGATAGCAAACACAGGGCCATAAATCTGCCAAAAAAAAAACAAATAGCCACAACCTTGAAACAGATATATGAAATTGCCGTGTAATGGGTGATGATGGGTGTGTAGAGCCCGGCGTTGACATGGTAAAGACATGAGGACTCGGTAGTAGCCCAGATTCGTAAGAGAGCTCCAAGGACGCCGGGGTGATGATGTGCCATGAGATGGATAGAGATATTACGCAACGAGATGGGAAGTGCAGTGATGCAAGCGGAAAGCTTAGTCCGTCCTTGTCCAGCAGAGACGGTACACATGGAGCCGTCAAATGGAAATGTTCTTCCACCGTGCGGAGAGAGCCTGACTATGGTGACTCCAGGGTATGCATACAGCAGGATGCAGGAACGGATGCGGGGTATCGCGGGGTATCATAATGAAGGAATTGGCGAAAAGACAGGCAGACCAACAGTAGGAAAAGGACTTCTCAAAGGGCCTCGAGCTTCAGCCCATGTCCATACCGTACTCGTCTTCCTCCTTCAGGCTAGTCCAGTACTGCGGCTGGTTTGATCCCGAACCGCTACCAGTGCTTTGCATGCCTGGACTAAGGCTCTGTGGTGAAACGCCGTTGAGGGGTTCACCAGCCAGGTTGGTGTGCTTGGGTACTCGCAGGCCTGAACCGGGGCCGCGCGAGTATCTGAAAGTACCGGCGCCGTTCTTCTCAAGCGCATCGAGGATTTCCGTCTTCATTCGCTTCTCGTCCTCGGACTGTTCGACAGACCACTCTTCACCAGTTGCTTGCTGGAGTCGTGCAGCCAGCTCGTCGCATTCCTGAATCTTCTTGGACAGCATCCACATGAGATCACGTGTCCAGCTGACGGCACCATTGAGAATATCACCCTTGTTGGGACCCTTGTCCTTTTCTTCGATTGGCAGACCTTGTGTAATGTTACCGGCTGCTCGCCTTCCACTTCCGCCAGCTAGAAGTGACGTGGCTTGTGGTGGTGACATACCGCTAGTGGCCATGGTAGGTGAGAGTGGGCCATTGTTGTTGATGTGCTTGCGGATCTTCTCATCCTCAAGACGGTGCTGAGGTACAAGACGAGACAAGTCGTGGATGCGCTCGTTGATATTGTCCCTGCGGCGACGCTCGACCAAGTTGTGGGACTCGCGGCGTCGGCGCTTCTTAGCGTCGGCATTTTGGCCAATATCAACCTTGGCGGGGAGTGAGTTGTGCTTGCCCGAATGCAAGACGTCAGTAATCTGTTGATGGTGCAGACCGCCAGTGTGGGGTGATGCCGTAGGCGAGTCGATCCATGAGTGGGCACTTCCTGGCGTTCCCTCCCACTGGCCAGACATGCTCTTGTGGTGGCGGTGCATGTTGGTCATGATGGGCTGCGTGTTGGTGAAGTTACCCGAGTCGGGTGTACCAAGGTGGAGACCAGCCATAGCAGGCGTCTTAGGCGACATGGGAGCCCGGTTGTCGGAGGTGGTCCTGCTCATTGTGATACGCTGGCGCATAGAGCCAGTTGGCATACTGCCGGAAAAGCTCCTCATCTGCGATCCTGATTGGTACTGGTTGAAGTCAAAATTGCCAGGGTGTACAAAAGGACTGTGAATGGGTAGGTCGTCTGGGGTGTTGGAATAGACCTGGTTCACGCTGGCATTGTTGGCGTGGCCATGGTAGTAGTCCTGCTGTTGACTCATCTGGTCCTGAGAGAAGTTGTTGAAGCCAGGCTGCTGCTCAAAGGTACCGAGTGACTCGGCAAGCTCGTCATCGGCAATGCCAGCTCCACCCTGCATGTAGCTGTTAGTGCCAAAGTGGTTGCCCATCATGTTTCCGTTCATGTTGAGCTCGGAAGGATTGATGCCACTGGCGTTCTCGTGTCCGGAGAACTGGGCGTTTGTGTATTGTTGGTTCATGTCCAGGCCATTGTGGCCCATGAAGCGGCTGTTGAAAGACATGTCGTCGACCTCTTCTTTGATGTATGGTTGAGGTGATCCTGTACCATTCATGTTGAAGATATCAGCGTCTAGCACGTCGTCAGAGGGGGACTCGAAGCCAAGGTCCAGCCTTGCAATCGGCTTCTGGGGAGAGTAGGAAGAGGGAGGAGTGAAGAGAGCGTCCGCTTCAGGGACAGTTAGTATGGTTCCGTAGTACATGATGGAAATGACGGAACGAAAAGAAAAAAAAAGATGTGCTGAGCGAGAAGGATTCACCGACGAACAGAAGGAATAATATAGAAAGAGAGAGAGAGAGAGAGAGATGCGGATCAAGTGAAACAGAATGGTGCTCTCATGACAATGTAGGATAAACTGACGTTACCAAAAGGCGTACTTACTAGGCTTTGGCATTACTGTGGGTTGCAGTATCCCAGAAGTGTGGATGTGTGTGGCCGAGGGCGGTTGCTTGTGCCGAACGTTGAGATCTGAAACAATCTATCGTCGGCTCAAGCCAGTGACCAAGGGACGCACTCGCAAGCTGGCAGAATGGTTGCAGCACGAGACGGCCTGTGTCGCTATATGGGAATTGACAGACGCTTGCTGTGTGGCGAGCACAAAGAGGGCGCGAGCAAGCCAAGGGAGTCTTTAGAGCGACGCCTGATACTCGCTAGCAAGCCTCTGGTCTTGTTGGGAGGGGGAAGCTAGTGTTTGTCTGTGGGAAGGGCATTAGCACCATGTCTGCCATGGACGAGTCATCTGTCACGGAAGGTACTCACTTTACTTGCCCGGACAAGGGATACCACGGGTTGGATGTTCCGGAGATGGGTATGGGCGGGCGTGGGGGAAAGCAAGGATGCGGCCTATCTTCGGAGCCAGATTGCGGGCTGCGGCGGGTGCTTGTGGCTGTGGGCCGAATTTGGATACTGAGAAAGACGTGTCAGCGCACAGTGCAGCAGGACAAGTGTTGGGTGGTTGAAGGGTCGGGTGCATGCGTGTGGCGCACAGATGGGTAACCCGCGAGGCAGGCAACGGAGGACGACAGCCGTGCTGCACGCCGGCACTGTGGGGACCGTGGTACGGGAGGACCAAAGCAGCGAAACAGTGTCACTGCTCCGGGGGGTGGTGTTGGGGCTTTTTTGTTTACAGCCCAGGCTGAAGCGCAGCACGGGGGCGGTGACGGTGGTGGTGGTGGTGAGGAAGGAAGGAGGGAGGGGTGGTGGTTGTTCAAGGAAAGAGCACCGAGCAGCGTTGACTCACCTTGGATGCCAGCAATGCTCAGTGGAGAGGGCAGCTGGAAGACTCGGCTTCTCGGGGTGGGCGAGAGGTCGAGTGAACAAGGTGGGAGAGCAGTTGGCTACCTGGTGGTGTGCACGAGGGAGCAGACTTGGCGGTTGGGGAGTGAGGTTGAAGGTAGGGGTCGAGGCCGAGGTGGTGGTGGCGGCGATGATGGTGCGGAGGGGAGGCTGTTTGTCTGGCGACGGGGGTGGAGAGGCGGGCGTGGGCGTGGACGAGTGTTTGTGTGCGTGGTGGGCTGCGCAGTGAGGGCTCTGGTGCAACGCGGTGGAGGGGTGGGTAAAATAGCACGAGTGGGCTCTGGAGTAGGCGGTCCGGGGGGGTAGTGGTGGGGAGGGCGGTGGCAGGATGTTCCCAGCAGCAGGCGGTGGATGAAGCGTGCTAGGCGCGGTGCAGGCTCTGGGCAGCGATGGGGGCAGGAGGCGCGGTGGGAGCGGCCCAGTGTGCAACAGCAATGCAAAGGCTGCCGCGGCTCTGAGAAGAGGAGAGACGGGGCAGCTCAAGCGAGGCCGGAAGGCGGTCAGCGAGCGTGGCCGTCTTAGTCGGGGCGCGCCAAGCAGCTATGGCCGGCCGGCGAATCAGTCCGTGGCAGCCAACGACTAGCCGATGCCGGGTGGCAGCGGTCGAGCACAAGCGGGCGGCCAGTGGGCGCGGTGCAGCAAAACGCAGACGATGCAGAGCAATGGCGACAGCCGCTGCAGTGGTTTGCGCAACCCGGCGCCGAGCGGGTGACGTAGGGCGTAGGCGACGTTGCGAGCTGGGGGAAGGCCGGCCCGGAGGGGCACTGCGCTGTATAGTATGTGGGTAGATTGATTGACTGTGTGTGTGTGTGTGTGTGTGTTGCGAGAGCGGCGGCTGGCTGTCGGTGTCTAGTGCAGTGTGTACATGTATATATATATATATATATGTACGGACGTATGTATGCAATGCAAGGTGCGGATTACTACCACTACAACGACTAGTATGTAGCGAGGGCGAGACAGACAATTATTGGGCCACCGACGGACGCGGCACGGCGGCATAATATACTCTGGCTCAGCAACGAGCAACGCGCCTCTTCTGCTCGCCGTGCCTCTGCCTGTCGCGGCGCATCAGGACGAGGCAGTCTGCAAGCCGCAAGCCCGCCGTCCAACCCTGGCGATGCGGACACCATCCGGCTTGCAAGTGGCCTCGCCTGGTCACTCGCAAGCCGTCGTGTCTCAGCTACCCGGTCCTGGCAGCCCTGGTAGAGGACGCGCGATGTGACTCACTAGCAGGCCCGCAAAGGACGTCATCTACCTGTTGCCCGACTGTCCAAGGCAGCCCTGGGCCCGAGGGGGTGTGCAAACGGCCATGTGTGTGTGTGTGTGTGTGTGTGTGTGTGTGCGTGTGTGCGTGTGTGTGTGGGCGTGCGTGGTATGGGTATGGGTGTGTGTGGGTGTGGGCGGGCATGTCCAAGGGCCGCGCTAACCCGACTCGGCCGCGTGGTTCACCCAGCACTGCGAGTCGCAGCGGGAGGCGATCGCGCGCTAGTCGCTGCAATGGCCCACCAAGTCCAAGTGTGCAGAGCATGGCAGGCCGGCCCTCACAAGAGCAGGCCGCGCTACTCCCCTCCTGGCCGGCGAGCAGACTACATTCCCATCTCCCATCACCGATCTGCTCTGCTCTACCACCCGTAACCACCGCCTGCCCTTTCCCGGCCAATCACCCCCGCCACAGCCACACCTCCGCCCTCCAGCCCGCCCTCGCCCTCGCCGCCTCGTCACAAGCCTCGCCCACCCATCACCGTGTCTGAGACGGCTGTCTGACTTCTGCCATTGGCTCTCCGCCGCCCCATCCCAGCCCTGCTCCTACACAGTACAGCACTCTACACCGCACGGACATCATCTGCACGAAATCCTCCGGTCCGTGGGCAGTTGTTCCTACTCGAGCATCCCACGACCGCACGCATACTCGCAACCCCGTCGACATCGTCCGCCGCGCCAAGCACCCTCTATCCAGCTCTGCCAAAGCCCCGCCCGCTACCGCTACAGCACTTCCCTAGCATCCCTACCATCTTCCTACCCAAGGCCCAATCTGCTCTGCCTGTCGCCTGCTGCGGCTTCTCCCCAACCTTCGCCGGCAACCCAAGAACCCAAGTCGCGTCCCCCGCGCCCACGCCTATTTCTGCTAGTCTCCCTATCCGCTCGCGACCGCCGTGCCCAGCAGCAGGTTTCTTCTGCTCAACCACACGGCGCTAGCATCTCGTGCTCCTCCG